GGGATCATCAAGATGTTTTCTGGCAAAACTGAGATGAGCCTTTATGTTCTTTTTGCTCAGCAGTGGTTTTCGTCTTGGAACTCTGCCATGCAGACCATTTTTGCCCAGTCTCTTTCTTATGGTGGAGTCATGAACACTGACCTTAACTGAGGCAAGTGAGGCCTGCAGTTCTTTGGATGTTGTTGTGGGGTCTTTTGTGACCTCTTGGATGAGTCGTCGCTGTGCTCTTGGGGTAATTTTGGTTGGCCGGCCACTCCTGGGAAGGTTCTCCACTGTTCCATGTTTTTGCCATTTGTGAATAATGGCTCTCACTGTGGTTCGCTGGAGTCCCAAAGCTTTAGAAATGGCTTTATAACCTTTTCCAGACTGATAGATCTCAATTACTTTCTTTCTCATTTGTTTCTGAATTTCTTTGGATCTCGGCATGATGTCTAGCTTTTGAGGATCTTTTGGTCTACTTCACTTTGTCAGGCAGGTCCTATTTAAGAGATTTCTTGATTGCGAACAGGTGTGGCAGTAATCAGGCCTGGGTGTGGCTAGAGAAATTGAACTCAGGTGTGATAAACCACAGTTTTAACAGGGGGGCAAACACTTCTTCACACAGGGCCATGTAGTTTTGGATTTTGTTTTCCCTTAATAATAAAAACCTTCATTTAAAAACTGCATGTTGTGTTTATTTGTGTTATCTTTGACTAATATTTAAATTTGTTTGATGATCTGAAACATTAAAGTGTGACAAACATGCAAAAAAATAAGAAATCAGGAAGGGGGCCAACACTTTTTCACGCCACTGTATATATATATATATATATATAACTTACTGTGTATCTTTGTCTAAACAAGAAGGTTCTTAAAATATGAATATGAATCCAGAGTTTCTCAGCCACTAAGGATCTCTCTTGCTTCTCTAGGTTCTGCACAGTTTGATATACAATGTGGAGAGACTCCCAACAAACTCATCAGGAAGTCCTCTCATTATCCGCTGTAAGAACTTCCATGTTTACCGACTGCTGATCCCACAGGAGAAGGACTGTTTAGATGTGCTGGCCTCCCTCACTCGGCTTTCACGCCCAGGTAAAGTAAAATGAGCAAAAATCACACAGTTGTGAATGCTAAACATGATGCTTTCAGAGTGTTCTTAAAAAGTCAAGTGCAAAATATATGCTTGCTTTCATTCATATTACTATTATTTAGTATTAAAATGTGAAAATGTGTAAAGTGTTAATCATTTTTTTTCCATGATCAGAAAGAAAGTATATCCTTTAAAAAAAAACTACGATAATAATATGTGACCCTGGACCACAAAACCAGTCTTAAGTCGCTGGGGTATATTTGTAGCAATAGCCAAAAATACATTGTATGGGTCAAAATTACAGATTTTTCTTTTATGCCAAAAAATCATTAGGATATTCAGTAAAGATCATGTTCCATGAAGATATTTTGTAAATTTCCTACTGTAAATATATTAAAACTTAATTTTTGATTAGTAATATGCATTGCTAAGAACTTCATTTGGACAACTTTAAAGGCGATTTTCTCAATATTTAGATTTTTTTGCACCCTCAGATTCCAGATTTTCAAGTAGTTGTATCTCGGCCAAATATTGTCCGATCCTAACAAACCATACATCAATGGAAAGCTTATTTATTCCGATTTCAGATGATGTATAAATCTTAATTTCTGAAAATTGACCCTTATGACTGGTTTTGTGGTCCAGGGTCACATATAAGAATCTACTTGAAGTACCAAAATCTGATTTGTGGCTTAGTTAATTAATCTGACTGTTAATTAAGTGGCTTGTCCATAAAACATGGCCAATACTCATATAGAGATGTGCACAAGGTCCTAGACGAAGGACCATCAGGGTAACACATTACAGATTTACTCGCATATGATTTGGCGAAGCATGAATAATGATTCATATATTTGCATTTTCTTCTGTGAAAAGTGAACACTGTGTCTTTTTTGCTTAGACAATCCAAGGTCTTAGCCGTGGCATCACAGTTCATTATGAAAATACACTGTCTGTGAAATTCAAACAACGTCAGAGCACAATTCTATGCAGCTTTGTGAATTTCACCCATGAGAGCTACACACTCATTAATGTCTCTCTCTTACTGTTTATTTTTTTTTTTTTGCAGAACGCTATGGAGAGCTGTTTTGTTTCTCTTTTAACCCCAACCTGGATAAAGAATTAAGGGAAAAGGCATGGGGCTTCATCAACCTGAAGGCAGAATTCAGTCGAATGGGAATACCCTGCAACCTCTGGCATGTCACAGCAGCCAATCATGAGTACAGAGTAAATATTTGATCAAATGCCTGTTCATGCTCAGGGTCAATAACCATGATTTCCTTTTCCACAAAATTTCAGAGATCAGTGTTTGAGTTTGCGCCTTAAATTACACTGTGAAAAACAAAGGTAGAAGACTGTACTTTAAGTACTTTAAGAGGTACTTTTGATATCATGTAGTTCCAAGACTATTACTTACTTACTTTCTTTTATGGAACATAAATTGAGAAATCGCTCTTTTATGTTTCTTCAGTAACAGAAAATAAAAGTTGCTCAGAGGCAGAGCAAATTATTATATTTTAATGAATTTTCGATGAACCTTGCACATAAAGCATGTGTAAATGTGTCCTGAATGAGCCCTAAGAATGTGTGTTAATAAATAAACAGGGCAACTGTTGACCACAAGAATGTAAAACAATAGTTCTAATCAGAATATTCTGATTGGCAGTTGTGTGACACTTACCCGTCAGAGCTGTTTGTGCCAAAGTCAGCCTCCCCTGCTGTCATTGTGGGCAGTGCCAAGTTCCGGAGTCGAGGGCGTCTTCCTGTTCTCTCCTACTTCCACAGAGACACCAGTGTAAGTGCAAAAACAAGGACACTCCTTTGAACTCAAGATCAAACCATTGTAGACTTTTATTTTTTATATCAAGCTTAATATGTTAAGCCAAATCTTTTCATTGTCTTCTCCTCCCCACTTTTCTATTTTTAAATGCTTACACCATTGGTTTTCTAGGCATCAATCTGCCGGAGCAGTCAGCCTCTTACTGGCTTCAGTGCACGCTCCTCAGATGATGAGCAGATGCTGCAGGCCATTATGAAGTCAAACCCTGTCAGCGAGTTCATGTATGTGGTGGACACAAGGCCAAAGGTGAGAGATCACAAAACAATAAGTGAAAGGACAGGTTGGACAAGCTGTTGAGATTTAGACGGGGTCATTTGAAAGTTGTCTCATAGAAACCGTGAAACTTTTTTGATGAATAGAAAGTTCAAAAGGACAGCAATTATTTGAAATACCATTATTTGTAGCAATGCAAAAGTTGTTACTGAAACTTCACTTTAATGCATGTGTATATACTATAT